ATTTCCTTAGGCGTATCATGTTACCAACTCTGTAGGCAATCTTTGTAATTACGATTAGGGTTGGTAAGGTAACAAACTTGTCACAAACTGAATATCGTCGTCTACGGAGACGATCACCTTAGCTATCTCGTCGTCTCACTGTCTGAGACGACTCCCTCTAGCTGAACCCACGCCCCTAAAAGGTCAAGCGGCCTCGTATAAGTGGGTCCCTCACTTCTACCTCTAACAACGTCAAGGGCAAGACGTAGGTTGTGTTATTAGATAAAGCATATTTGCCATGATTCTATGTTTTCATTGCGGTAACGTCCGCACTTACTACATTACTTGTTGCATTTTAATTCGTTACATCGGAGTTATAAGAAAACCACTGAACCGCCAGTACACTGAACTGTTGACGGAAAGGTTATCTCGTCAATAGTCCGAACGGTTAAATTGGCTGGGATGGAACAACGATTGGTTTCAGTCGAAATGGGAGGCTCTTACACCTTACACCTTTTCCAATTATTGGGACACCACGTCTTGGCCGTAATTTCAGCGGACATGTGGCTGGGTTGCGAAGTGGGAGTTTGGTTTAATTATGGTAATGGTAGAGAAGGGGGGCTGGTAATTACCTTGACCGGAAAAGTGCGGGCAGCTTGTTTGAGAAGCCTTCAAAGCGTGCAACAGTCCCGAATGGACTGTTGCACGCTTTGAAGGCTCTGTAGCCCCTTACCAATTACCTGCATTTAATGCTTACTGAGATGCTCGTAGTGAGAGCAGGGTTTCTTCATTGTCAGTTATTTGCTCTGATATGAAGCGCGGCTCTTGAGGGATCTTTAGGTTAAGTGCTCGCCACATATGTTGTGCGCATATGTGACTTCATAGTAGGATATCCATAGTAGATACCAAGAAAAAAGCAGCAGCTGACAGCTAGAGCTTGATCATTTTAAAAAGTCCACTTTCAATACAACTCATCACTGTGCTTTTATTGTGCGATCTATGCAACGTACTAAGGCGAAGCAGAAGCAGGAGTTGTCGATGCACTACAAGACTTTTGAAACTCCTGCGGAACCCACGTTATCACTGTTGACTCGCAGAACGCGATTGGTTTCGAAATGATGGAAACTATTATGACGAAAAAAGGCGACAAGAATCCCAAATCCATTAACAAGCCCATTCCATCAGTAAAAACGTTCAGGCAGTTCCGGCTAGACACAAACCTGATCATATCCCAATAATCGGAAAAGGTGCAAGAGCCTTCCATTTTGACTGAAGCCAATCGCTGTTCCATCCCAATCAATCTAACCATTCGGACTATTGGCGAGATAACCTTTCCGTCAACAAGTTCAGTTTATGAGAAGTTTGATACCTTACCAACCCTAATCGTAATTACGAATTCCTACAAAGTTGGTAACATGACACGCCTAAGCAAATGTATCCCATTTTTGTTTTTTATCGATGCCGTCAACGGCTTCAACCTCTTTCACCCTTGCCTTAATCAAGCCATCTCTCAAATATGTGCGTTTCGGATTGGGGCTGGGCCATAGCCATAGTATCGTACCAATAGAGGTCCCGCATCGAATCCTTGCATTGGCAAATTGCCACGGACGGGCATGTAGATTTTGTTGCGTTCGAAATCCTAGACTAAACTTTCGAATATTGGGTACTCCCAACTCACAATAATTCTGTTCCGGACTCGCCCACAGGATTATGCCGACCATGATAGCTTCCTAGCATAAGTTCGAACGAACACAGAATAAATTCTCGAGTACACCAAAGGCGGTCATTTTGCAATGGCACTATTTCGAATCTTTTCCCCCTGACCGCGCTGAGGGAGTCACCTTGACGAGTTGCAACTTTCGAAAAACCTTTTCAATTAGACAATGGAGAGGGGTAGTCTGTACATCGACATCGAAGCAAAGAATCTCCCATACTTCATATAATCTCCTCACACTGAAAGAGTCTTACCTGGTAAAAGGGCCTCCTCATCCGAGAGTGGGTGAAGGCTGTGAAGTTTTTTCGAATACTCAAGAAGTCACTGATAATTAACTGTTCCTGGTATTGACCTTGATCCAGACTGCCTTACCACCATCGTGCTATTTGGAGCTTCCAAGCATTTATTTTTCTCAGACTACGTCATAATTTAATACCAGTCCCTCACATAAGGCGCTGTTCAGCGTCACTGTACGGCGTCCAATGTGTCCACCGCTTCTACCCTATCTTTGTTTTGCAGATTGTTGACTTGTCTTATAGTTGGCAGTGAAAAAAAAACAAAACATTTTCAGACTGAAATCAAGTGTCGACCATCACAAAAGTCTATTCAGTACTTGGATGATGGCCACGAAAACATGATACGAATCTTTATTGAATTGCTCGATTGAGCGATCTTGACTTGGATTGTGGTGAATCAGTGACACTAATCAAAGAATTTTCAGTTAAAATTAATTCGAATATTCGCCCATAAAAAGTTTTTATTCACAAAATTGGAGAGATCGCTCATCATGAGATCATCGTTGTCAGGAAAAACAAGGGATTGAACGAGTCGAAGGGCTGTTCTGCTCTGCTGGTCACGACAATTGGATAGATGCAACGTGCAGCTCAAAATCGTGCACGACACAACTCGAAACTTCGCAAGTTGAGAATGCAGTTGAGTTTGTCACGGGACTCTCGTGTTTGTAGGATGATGGGCCTAATCTCCAAAACTTCGTAGACAAACTTTGTAGAAGCAAAATGATGAGACATATGTGCCAGCTCACCTATCCAGTTGATCGTTTTTCGAAGGGGACACATATGGTCGCAGTAGGCTGAAGTTCACGTAGCGCTTTGCTCGAACAGGCGATCCGGATTCAGTGCGGATTTCTGAAAGGTGGGAGTATACTGGGTCAGCACGAGCACCTGAACTCGGCAACTTATTAAGCATCACGCACCAGAAAAGGCTGTTGCGACTAGCAAAACGGCCAAAACCACAATAGTCTTCATCAAACTCAACATTTGTATCTGAAATGTTTTTGGAAGCGTTTTTTCCTACCATAAGCAGTAAAACTGCGCGATTGATCAACGTTGTAAGTGCAACGGTCATCGATCGAGAGCAATGCAATCAGCTTAATTCTCATGTGAACAGCTGCATATCAAAGTAACACAAAAGAAGCCCGAAACTGATTAAGCGATTGCTAGACAAAATGAAGAAGTTCTACAGAAGCGATTTCCAGGAAGGGAAACCTGAGATCATTATACGGAACTCATTCGGTAGCCAAGCTCACAGGTGGCTTCACTTTTTTGTAATCAAAGGAAAAATTTTGAAAAAAAAANAAAAAAAAATCGTTCTCTAACTTACAAAACAACTGATTCTGTGTGCGTTTTCGACTGCAATTTTCCCTTTACTAACTACTTCGATTTCGCACTCATTGAAGCCCTCTCTCGTAATGTGAGCCATTAATTGTGGCCTCTGAAGGCTGCTCTCCCAAATGTCTGTGAGAGGAAACTTATTTTTTAACATAGCTTGTAGGTGAAATGGAGTTGGTGAAACGACTGCGCTTTCCCGCGTTTCCACCCTTTCGACCCGTTTTCGTGCCCTTTCTTCCTGGAGGGCTCTCGGTTAGGTGTCTCTTGCGAAAATTTCCACGACTTTGAAATGCGTCAGGACCTTAGCGAGCTAAATATTATCGAATAACACTTGACCAAGCCCAAAGCGCCTTCAGCAGCTGTATCACGCCCATACGCAAACAACAAATAACCTAAAGAAAATTTTCATAGAATACGTTTACTCTGTTAGGTTTCCTTGAGATTGCATCTCGGAAATATTATAACTTCGATGAACCAAGAAATCGATGGTCTCTCTTGGCAATTTCGCTTCTGTACA